GGGTGCAGTGACAGCTGTAAGTACTCCAGCTTTATATGCTGCTTCTAAATGCTTTCCACCTAATTTTAATCCATCTACTGCATATATAATATCTTCAACATCATATGGATTGTTTATAGGGATCACTTGCCCATCATTTGCAGAGAATTCTGTTTCGATCTGTGCTAATCCTAAAGCAGGACCAACAGCAATAATCCCCTTTAATTTTGAATAGACTTAGAAATTTATATGCGAACTTTAATATACTAAAAACAATGCTTAAAAAAAAACTTACCGGTAATACATGGCCACCATTTAAATCTATTATTTCGTACGATGAAAGATTATTTGGTATTATGCAATTAATACCAATACATTCAATAATGCTGTCTTTAACTATGATACTGATATTCCCTTCTGCTGAAGAATATGTGTGGTTTTTATCAACATAAATTCTGTCAATATTTTTTAGTATAATTGAGGATGTTGTTCGTGATTTAACAGGCTTCCTGGCAAAATCGGAATTTGGTATATTATCTGATAAAGATTCTTTTGAAGTTTCATTACTAAGCACGCTTAAAGAAGTATTAAATTGAGGAATTCCATCGATATATACTTCTAATGGTGTTGCGCCTAATGAAAGGGGATGAGAATCCCAAACCTAAAAAATAATCATAAATAAAAAATACATGTATATTTTTTCTAAGGCATTTATCAGACAATGAATGCATTGCATTACCACAACATCAGCATCATATCCTAAAGAAATTTGACCAATTCGATGACCCAGACCAAGTGCTTTTGCAGGCACTGATGTAATGGCTGCAAGAGATTGATGTTCATCAAGGCCATAATGATAAGCTTTGGCAGCTTCATATGCCAAATTTTGCTATAGTTTACTACTCTTGATTAGATTAAAATTTATATCGTTTTAAAAACATTTACAAACAGCTCACCGCATTTGATATAGGATGATCGGATTTCAAAGCTACAGGAATTTGTGCATCTACAAAAATTTTGGGGGCTTTTGTACTAGCTTGAATTGCTTCCTTTTTATGCCCATAAAGATCGGGAAATATTGCAACAGTAATATTATTTTTTACGCGTTTTTTAATTATATCAGTAATCATATAAGCACTTGTCGCATGATGTATGGCTGCAATAGTAAAATTAAATTCCAAGGAAATTCGAATCATTGTTTCTGCGTCGTAAAACTAAATAATATTTTAGATTAGAATTTTAAAAATATGCAAGTACTTAATAAAATTTTCTTAAATTAACCTCATGACAGTGAAGATTTAATTTCGCATCTCCTCTTAATAGTGCTACCAAACTTTCAAGATGAAGGTCCTCCGGAAAATATGAGTTCAATTGTTCGCCATTACTTAATTTTGCTGCAGCACTACACCAATCATCTTGCTTCCGTTTCAATGCTTG